CATGGGCTGTCTCTGGAGTTGTCCCATGCATGGCTAAGGTCATCTGGCCTACGCTCAGAGACAGAGGGGTTTTTGGCAGCAGCTCAGGATGGCGTTTTACCCACACTATGGTACCGAAAGTCCATCTTGAAGGAGGACTTGAGAACAATCACATGTCGGGCCTGTGGGACCCATCCGGAAACCCTGTTCCGCCTGCTGTCGGCCTGTCCCACCTACATCCAACGCTACATCCAACGCCGTAACGCCGCACTACGTGTATCATATTACCACCTTCGGCACGCATACGGGATCGATAGAACACCTGCTCTCCCGTATGCAGAAAAAGATATGGCCACCGTCGTGGAGAATACCACCTGACGCACCTGGTGGAATTACAGCTTTCCCACGACGAAACAGCTGACGGCCACGAAGCCGGACATCGCCCTGCTGGACAAGGAGGCAAGACAACTCTACGTGATCGAGTTCTCCTGTCCGGGCGAGAAAAACATCAGCGCAAAGGAAGAAGAGGAAAGGGCTAAATATTTACACCTCATGTTCGAGCTTCGACAATTATATTCTGGTCACAAAGTCGCGCTCGTAATCGTAACTATCGGGTGCCTCGGAAGGATGAAGGACAACCGTCTTGTCGGCACTGGAAAGAAATCCAGCCTGTCGGTCAGTAGCTCCATCTCTGGCCAAAAGCATGCAAAAACAGGTGATCCTGGGCTCTCTTCATGTTCTTCGGGGCCACTTGGCAGACTAAAGGACCCTGGCTTACCGCCCTCTTTGGGGGCGTCAGGGTTTCTTTCACACCTGTCCGCCTGCCCCCAGGAATGACGGGATGGACTGAAAGCCCTCACGGGAAGGTTCATCGCTGATGTAGGGAAGCAGGCCGGCAGGAGATGTATTTTAAATGCAACACATTTTAAATGTAACACATAATAATAATAATAATAATAATAATAATAACGTCAAGGACATGCCGTTAAACTGTATCCAAAGTCTAATGAAAAAGACAAGGATCAATATTCATACTGGGCGCCGACCGACCTGGAACCTCCCAAGTCCCTGTAGACCTTCAGGCAGGGATGGGAAATAGGGCTACTGGAGGAATATCTCCTTCTGCCTCTGGGTTTGAGGAGCGATTTCATAGCCCTCCCCCATGCAGACCAGAGAAGCCCGCTGCACCAAACCGAATCAGATGGACAAAGGAAATGAACATCGCTGTGATGCAGGCTCATTTTATAGCAACAATGAAAGGGGGTCCCTACAGAAACAGGATGCATGAAATATGGCAAACTGAATATCCGGGGATCCCAGCCACTGTACAACGTGTAGCAGATCAGAAGCGTGTGATGATTAAGATCAAGCTACTTACGGAATCTGAACAAAATATGGTGAAGGGACAAGCCGAAGCACTATTCCGCTCGAACTATGGCAAGGATAATCCACAAGAGGACCAACCACATGTTGAAAAACAGGACGTGGGCGAAACAGCAGAGATATTGAACCCTGAGCTCAGTCAGCATCTAGAAGAGATGTTGAATTACGAGCTACCTGAACAAATAGAAGAGGCATCACTTTCCAACAATGATGATCGGAATTATCAAGAGATGAAGGAGTCTCTTAACAATATTGAAGATGTCAAGCTTCAGATGTGGCAACCTCCAAGACTTCCTCCACTGAGAACTAACCAGGACTTAATTGACGACATTCAGCTCATGAATGATATCCTGAGGAAAATCCCGGTGGAAAAGAAGACCCTGACAGACATCAATGACATCATATACGCTGCTGCTCTGACAATCTCTCACAAGTGGCAACCTCTTAAGACCTTCCAACAGAGAAGTGAGACAGAACCACCATGGAAACGCCGGTTAAAACGACGCATTGACGATGCGAGACGAGACATTAGCCTTCTCCTCCAGCTGCAGAAGGTACACCAGAAAAAAAGATTAGTCAGAAGCTTCAGAGAGTAAAGAAAAAGTATAAGGCCGCGTCACCAGAAGCGACAGATGCCATCATTGAGTCGCTGAAGATGCGAGTGATGGCCTGGGCACAAAGGATTCGAAGATACACCAAGCGAGTCCTGCAGTGGCGCCAGAATGAGAATTTCAGGCAGAACTGTAAGAACATCTACAGGAGCCTGAAGGGAACCTCTTTATCACCAGGAGAAATTCCCACACAGGAATTGGTGGAGGATTATTGAGCTTCCATTTTGGATTAGGAAACCCACCATAATGAAAAAGCCGAATGGTTACATGCCCTATATACCAAAGCAAAGAACACCACCGATATGGAAGACTTTGTCATCACTACAATGGATCTCAACGTGGCACTGAAAAAGACCGGCAACTGGAAGTCACCAGGTTTAAACGAAGTGCCAAACTTCTGGCTCAAATGTTTTACTGCCTACATGAAGACCTAGTCAGAGAACTGAATGCCATCATTGTAGAGCCTAAGAACTCGCCAACATGGCTGACAAGTGGCACTACCTACCTGCTTCCCAAGAAAGCCGAAGAACAAATAACCCAAAGAACTACCGTCCCATCGCATGTCTGCCGAATGCAAATAAGCTGCTTATTTCCATCTTGTCAGAACACATTGACAGGTACCTGACAGGGAACAACATCATGGCTGAGGAGCAGAAAGGTTTCACAAGAGGCTCATATGGTTGCAAGGAGCAGCTACTAGTCAACCAGATGATCCTCGATGATGCCAGATCAAGAAAAAAGAACCTTTCGGTTGCTTGGATCGATTATCAAAAGGCTTTCGACAGCATCCCACACTCGTGGATCCTCGAGTGCTTCAAGTTATATAGGGTCAGTCCGAGAGTAGTACACTTTCTCACTCATATTATGCCAACATGGAGGACCACAATGACTCTTCAAGGGGCAAGAGACAAAGTCGTAACAAGGGAGATCAACATCCGCTGTGGAATTTTTCAAGGCGACACCCTTTCGCCATTACTCTTCTATCTAGCAATCAATCCAGTGAATGAGCTGCTCAACTTCAGTGGAGTTGGGTACCATGTCGGAAAGGGGAAGACAGAGAACCACTTTGTTAACCATCTTCTATATATGGATGACCTCAAACTGTTTGCCTCAGGAGACCGACAGCTGGAGGGATTCCTGAATACCGTGGACATGTTCTCCACGGACATTAGAATCAGGTTTGGTCTCGACAAATGTGCGAAGCTATCTCTTCTTAGAGGGAAGCCAGTAGAAACTGGCCCCATCATGACCGCCAATCAAGAAAGATTTGATGAACTCCATGCCCAGAGCACTTACAAGTATCTGGGCTTTGAGAATGCCACCACTGTTCATCACGGGATGAAGGTCAAACTCTCTACTGAATTCAAGAAACGCGTAAGAACGGTGTTAAAGACCGAATTGAACGGCAAGAATAAGATCACGGCGATGAATGCCTTTGCCAATTTCGAACGCCGACTCTGCCCGCGTGGCGGACAAACGAGGAAAGGAGCAATGTGTGCGTTTAAACGGCATTTTCTTTTCGGATCTCTCTGCAAGATTACTCACTTTCCAGGAATACCGTGTTGCCTTGAGATTCACGCGGCTTCGGTTCGGGCTGGATGATTTTAGCGCATATTACAGATGATTCTAAGCTGCCATGGGAGGCCTTCTCAAAAGCCTTCTCGAAAGAAAAGTGAAACTAAGTAAGGTGTGAACATACCTGGGATTGCGTCGATAAAGCATCTCGAGTCGAAATGAAAGAGAGAGCGGAAAAGTTGCCGTCCTCTGTAAAAGTACTATCAGCTTTTGTTCGACGTCTGTCTCGATGCCTTCAGCACCCTTTCGACGTCTCTCTGGTTGATCCATCATCAATCAATTTTTTTAAAATCGTTATCGAGATCCACGCCGCAGCTCCGGAAGTGAAGCCACTCACTCCCGGTTAAAAGTTGCATTTTCTTGGGTTTGGAGGGTTGACCTCAGAACCGAGAGCAACGCGTCGGCCAGTGTTCTTCATCTTCATCAGTCACCAATCCGATCCGCACACTCTTCCAATTATCTACCCACGAGGAGCGAGAGCCTGCGAAATGTTCATGGCGAATAATCCGTCGAAATAATTTTCGCGGCTTCAATTGCCATTCAAGGTATGACATCAACATGAAATGAATGAAGCAAATCATGTTTTCTGTGATTTTTTCCCCAGATTTATGGGCGACCTTGGCAAAACGGAACATCACATGGTTTCCTTGAAATCGCCTGCGAAGATGTAAAGCGCCATTACATCAAGTCGGTGGATTAGAGAATTAATTGATTATTATTATTTAAAAATAATGATTAGGAATCGTGGAAGCGGCTGAACTCGGCCGACGAGAAACTCGTCCAACCCACGATTTGCCTGTCGTTTTGTTATCAATGCGAGAAACATACGGTTCTCTTCTAGGACGATGATAGGAATCGTTACGCAGAGGATAACCTCGTTTATACCTGCTATATTATTAACAAGATCCTTCGCTTTGCGTCACCAACAGCGCTCATCGACTTGGAGACCCGAGCATGGAGCCCTACTTGGGAACAATTTCGTGTCTGAGTCTTCTAGGTTTTCACTTCGGGGTAAGGAAATGCGTTATTATGCTTCCTCTGCAGAGGAAACGCAAACCGTGTGTAAACCGTGTTCCGTGCAAAAGGCATGAAAATCGTGCCTTTTTCCCATTGCAGAAAGGTACAGTTTACTTCAAATACAAAGAAGGAAGTGTAATTTAATATATTCTTGGAAACCACTTACTCTGCTTGGCGTGACTAGAATGTAAGGCGACCTGAATCCTTTGCTTCTTTGCGGTGTGACGAGTGATGAATGCACGAGGAAATACATCATTTTCACCTTGCGATAGCAATTTGATGAACTGCACGCGATTGCTTGTCGAACAAGAGGACGTCGAAACGTGTCATTAGGACGAGGTGAAATCTCGTGAAATGGAAGTTGCAGGTCTCTATCGTGTCGATCGACCACATCCCGTAACTGGAGCAAACGAAAGTTGTGACGTGAGCTCTTCGATGGAGGTGTATGCGTCGTGTCAGCCGATTTCCCTCCACTTCGCCGGCGAATGGGGTCCGAGGAAGATGGAGCTGCTGGCGTTCCTTCTTGTTTGGTTCGTTTGGAGGGCGATGGGGACCGAAACCACCCAGGGATTTTTCACCCCGAAGAAATACAATATGAAGATCACGACACCGATTTCCGAGTTTCCCGTTCTTTCTGAGCTTCAGTGCGCCATGGGTTGCACGCGGTGAGTCCCCCGAAACTTGTAATGAGATAATGATGGCATTCGAAGCCGCTGGGAATTAAATATCTGAAGGCCGCTCGAATTTCATGGTGCCGCTTCCCATACGAAGCATCCACGGCAGCTGGAATTGGAAACAATTGCATGTTCATTTTAGCGTAAATCCATATGCTGGAGGATTTCCATATACTTTGCATCACAGGAAGATGCAGGTGGACTTTTAGCAAGAATTGCGTAAACCGATGAATATTTCACGAATATCGCAACTTTTTGGGGACTTAAAAAAAAGTGACTAATCTGGTGGGTTTTCGTTTGCCGTATGCCAAATCCAGGCGACCTCTTCGTTCGCGCATTTGTGAGCGTTTTTTCACTTTCAAATAATCAAAAAGCAACCTTAAAAGGAAAATGTTTTCCGATGCTGAAGGAAGACGACGCATTTTAATTTTCGTTCTAATATTTGGTTTACTCATCGAATGTGCAACTACGCGAATAACCAATCAGGCAACTTGAAACATCATGTAACAAATTCCAACGTCGTCAACCAAAATGACACTGCTTACTAATGACCCTGACTTCCTAAATAAATTCGCAGTACACCGGATACGAAAAAAGTTGAACTTGAGCAAAAGGCTCTTCTGTTACGTTGCTGAAAGTAAACGATGACGCTACTAAGGCACAATGCATGGGATTAAATGGAATTTTTATTGCTTTTTACCCATTTAGAAATTGGACGTGTCTCAGCTACTCTGTGACACGGGGGGCGGGGGGCGGGGCTTTCACATGCCGCTTCGGATACAGATACGACGAACCGAGGACTGCCGATGCAGACAGCCAATTCTTCTACAGAGAAGTACCAGCAGGTAAATGAATTTGTCGAAATCCCATATTCTCGGTCAGAAAAGCTTTGGAACAGAGAATGCAGCTGAAACGAGATGAACCTTTCCATGTTGCCAATTTTTTAAAAACACTTTATTTCTTCATCTTGAACATGAATAGTCTTTAGTAGCGCCTATTGCCTTTTTCGACCCCTCCCGAAGAAAAAGCCAACCTCCTCGTATTCTTGTTTGAGCGCATCGAAAGGAAGAAAATTTCGCTCGCTTCTTCCTCTCTCAACACAGAAATCAAATTTGACGCTCCTTCTCCCCGGGGTTGTGGAGAACAATGAGTCTTGTTTTTGGCAGATGTGAATTTCATTCCTTCCCCCCCCCCTTCCCCGACTAGCCACTCCTTGGGGGTTGTCGGAGAAAAGAGACCGACCATGAGAAAGATACTGACTTGTAGTTGACGAGAAGTGGTCCTTGGGTCCTTGTTATGCACAATTTCGCCATGAAAAGTGAAATGAGCCGTTGTTCAATTAGGCTCAGAGAGCTAGCTCCGGTACCGTTCCATTAACCACAAGCCATTAACAATTGGTTTTCACATTACTTAGTTGTCCATTGAATGAAGCCCTCTTGCATTCCCTTGATATTGCGTGGATCAGAACAGAGGTAACCCTTCCTTTTTCTTCTTAATTACATTTCAGTTACATTATATAAGCACTTTCTGTAAGTCCAGTCTTTCAAAATGTCTGCATTTCGCCAACTATCACGTACCAGCGGAGCCGTACAAGGAAAATCATCCTAGACCACATTGACTTTAATTAAACCGAAATTCAATTTCCCTCGTACGGGCGGATGCCTTTTTTCAGATAGCGACTATTTCCAAAATAATTTCCTGTGCTAGTCTATTCGCTACACCTCGACCCAAAATGCTAAATCATGGACTTTCTGGAAGGTTACAACCTGGTGCCTGGAACGGGGAGCTATGTGAAAATGACCATCAAAAGCGGAAAATCAGCCGCTGCCGCGACTGCGTGCAAGAATGAAGGCGCTCAACTCGTCTCCTCCAACAATGCAACAGTGAACAGCTACGTAAGGCAGCTACGACAAAATGTATCACCTGGCGCAACTATATGGGTCGGTGGGCAGATGGGCAAGAATAAGTACCAATGGGTGTTTCCAGATGGTGAGTCTTCATTCGTTGGATTTGATTGGCCAGCTCAGAGATATGGTATTCCAGCGATGATGCGAAGTAACTTCTGCCCTTTCTCCCTAATGCTTGGAAAGAATGGGTGCACTACATGAGGCAAAACGAACCAGATATCTAAATAAAAGTAAGTGCCCGTAAAAATAACTGACAGAAAATGATCCATCACGTAGAAAGACTTCATTCATTTAGTGAGTAGTGCTCGGACTCTCAATCTCTCAACTCGATTCTGCGAGGTGGCTATTCAGTCTTTTATTCATAAATGCTACTCTTTAAAGGACTTTTGGTCTTTTCTTTGATGTTTCATATGTTGCAGCATGATCTTAATGCATCAGAGACTCGTGCAGAAGCAACTCATGCATCAGCTTTATTCATCAGACTGATGATTAGCACTACCATACCATGAGAACGGTTTTGTACTATATAATTATTCCCACCAGTCTTCAATTTGCATATTCTTCCGTGCATAATGCATCCGGATAGCTTGCGATTTTTCCTGCCTTTCCTGAAGTATCCTCTTCTGATTTTCAGGTACGACACTGACTGTCACAGGACCAAGCCAATCCTACTTCTGCAAGGACCAACCCTCCGGTGATGGCCCTTGTCTCCATCTTCTTGACCATGCTGGCGGTATTGGCTGCTGGAATGACGCTTCTTGCAGTTTGGATTACTCTGGATACATCTGCGAAATCAAAGTACCAATTTGATCCGGCAAGGGGAACTCGATCTCTCATCTGGAGACAAGCGCGAGAAGAAATCCATTCCGGTCATGAATTTTTCAAGGATTTGCATGCATTTCTGATTGGTTTTCATATGTGGTACGCGTTTCACGTCGTACAGGATCTTATAGGAACCCCATACTATTTTTATGTTTCGAATATCACATATGGAATCCAACTGAATTTTTCGTGTGGTCTTGCGTACTTGTTAAGTACTTCTCCAAAGAAGGACCGGTCCCTCTTTCGAATGAGGTAGCCTAATGAAGTCTATTTCCATATATTTCACTCTTGTGCATGGTAAGCATTTTCTGGGGAAAGTGAGCGTTACATATGAATATGTACTTTTAATTCTCTCACACATTCTTACTTGCGCGCACTGCCCTAGTAGCATATAACCAGTGGCGGCTCGTGGGTGAAAATACCGGGTAGGCAATGGTGCATAAAGGTGGGGGGTGGTGGCACCCTTATCATTCCTCTGCTTCCATTTGATCCTATTGACCAGGGGCGCGCCCTCCCATGATGGTAGCAGGCACATTCGCCACTCTCTCTCCCTCGCTCAGCATCCCCTCCCCCCCCTCCTCCCACTCTCCAGTATATTGAGGGTCACATCCCTTCATCCATTGGCTACGGGCTTGACATGAGATTAGAATGTTTACATTCAATAACTGTCAATATAATTCTAACATAATAAGAACTAGCCATCAAAGAAATTACTTGCATCCAACAGAAGTGACAAAGATTTACACCTTCGAGGAAAGTAATCATACCATTTGAAGCCACCTTAGGAATGCGAAGCACGATCGGTCTAAACAAAACATCACTGGGAAACAGTGCTTCTTCCTGGAGAGGGCTTTAACAAAAGTGGGTGGGAATGGGGAACCGGACCCAAGACCGATGGAAGCCTGGTCGGAATGATTCCTTAAACAGTCTGCATGATGATACTTATAGTAGATTTCTATCAGGTGTGACAACCATAGAGGCTTCCATAAGCACGTGCTTCTGAGGAGAGGGCGTGAGCAAGCAATTCTCATCCTTCCCTTTCCTGAGCAATGAGTAACTGCGCTACGTAGGCCAGCCTACTCTCTCTCATTCCAGGGTTTACGATTCTCGTCCCTCCCTCCCTCTTCTCGTTTCTGCATTTCTAGCTGTTCTAAGCGAAATGTAAATTAACAAATATTACTTTGAGAATTCTGATTTTAAACTCAGAAGACACTGCTTACTTTGCCTACCCTGACGAGCTGCCACTGCAAATAACATTGAAACAACATTGATTCACTGTTGAATTAACATCTGGACGTTGAACCAACGTTGAATTTATTACAAATTTATATATTCATAGTAAAAAAAAACAGGAGGTAATTTTTTTCATGTGAGACATTCCCCTTCTTTCATTATATTTTCGAATCTCCCAGATAACTTATATTTTGTTTTATTTCCCCTTTGTTCAAATGCATTAACATGGTGATGGTATTTCTAGCGTAATCTCCCTCATCCTTCATTGCTTTGATTGAATGTGTGGAAATATATTTCCAATTCGTCTGCAAAGTTTGGCAACTTTAGGAATGCTGAAGAATCTCTGAAATGTATCACATGTCACTAAACCTTTACTTCTGCTCTGATTCATCCCCCGAATCCGAATAAATGTGCACAACGCCGCACAAACATTTTGTGGTTGACCACGAAAATACTTTGCTAAGGTGCATTCTAAATCGTCCTCACGGATATAATAGATGTTGATGTCGCACATCAGCAGCGCGACCATGCCAAAGGGGACAACTTCCAGGCCAGAGTCGTGGCATGTGATGAAACCTGGCGACATCAATTTCACGATGACTCTTCCTGAGGGCGGCATTGAGGGGCTGGCGAAACCGGAATAAATCTATTTTTACAAAAAGGGCTGTACCAAATTGGCTTGCCCATCAGGTGTAATACAAATCGGACGAGTAAGCAAAGATGTCTATTCATCGGGGGAAAAGTTCCTAGTGGTTCTTAACAGTGCTCCTCCTTGGGTGCAATTTTTTTTTCCTGGGGGGGGGGGGGGGACTGAATTTGTAAGTACAACTTCTTCAGAGGTCATGGTTGCCCATATACAGAGAGAATTGGTTCAGTCAGTATTCCAGAATATTTCATTACCATAAATCTTTGAAATTCACTGTAAACATTGACGGACAGGGCAGCCCTTGCTGAAATCCTTGTAAGCCTTCTGAGGGAAAATAAGACGAGAGTCGTCCACGTACTGTACCTGATAGCACAATGTCAATGAGAGCACGTGTCAGACTTTACTGACTTGACTAGAAATGTTCTCATAGTGGATCCCACTTGGAATATAGAAATGTTTATTTGGAGTCTCAAACCAAAGTCCAAGTATCCGCCAACGTGTTAAATTATCCATGTGGAGGGACAATCTGAAAAATGAACAAAACGGTTCGGACGAAACTAGGAAGTCTCATTGCCAAAAGAAATCTTCTGAAGGAGTATTTCCGGCGTGGGTTTTTCCCTGTTTAGCAGCCTTGATTCTCATTTTAAAATTGTAAATCCTTTCTGAACCATCAGAGGCTGCTTTCGCCGGTTTCGGAACCGAAACAACAGCTGATCCGACAACAGCTCTGCTTAAGAAAGACTTAGCTTTCTTTTAATAAATGTTATTGGATGGATGAAAATGCTATCAATGGCTCTCATTTAACATTTTTTAAAAATGAGTCATATGCATTGCACCTTGTGGTGAGTCCAAATTTATATTCATGAAATAGACCAAGGCGAATCTGTGCCATTCGGTATCTATCCACATCAGTCCGGAACATGGCAGTGCGCATGCTCAAGACCAAATTAAATTGGTGCCAATTGGCAGTCATTCCCTTCGGTGAATGGCATAACAGTGCACATGCTTTAAACCAAAGGGAACCGGTGGCTTTTGGCACCTTTTCCCTTCGGTCCAGCTTCGATCCTTGTTGGTCCTTGAAGAGCAGCAATTCTTCCATTAAGTACTTTAAATGATGTCTTTAATCAGAAATGATGGGAAAAGACATATGAAGATCCTGATAATATGAAAAAAGCCGTAATTCTTTTTTAGAGAAGCTTCTTTGCTGTTCAAAGTAAGTATGAGAGATTTGTTTTCTTGAGTTTGTGAAAAATAAATTATTTTTCGTAAGAGTAATTTAAATAAAAGTGAAGACTCAGTTCAATGCATGAGGAAACATAAATACTTCATTATTTTATAGACAATCCAGGAGCACCGAAATCGTTCAAGAACAATGAAATACCATTTAAAGGAACATTTCAAGGCATTTCATTTTTTACTCACACAGTAATTATTTTCATGTAATGATCACGTAGGTCACAATCGAAAGGAGTCCCAAACGCCAAGAAAGTCTTGAATATCTTGCAACTGACAAATCATTTTCTTCATGATGTATCCAGCCTCTTTTACTCATCTGTTTCCAGCCTCATTTTTCCCATGCTTCCACTTCGTGGGAAAGTCTAAGCAAAGCGGAGCCTGCCCTGTTTTCTTGGGTATCGCCTGTTGAAGCAATTTACATCAAGTAGGGAAAGGTGGGGTAAAATGGGCGAGGGGGAAAAGATTCTAAACTCAGATTTTAACAGGTTGACCGCCAGAGGCGCACCGGTGCGCCCCGTCCTTCACCTTCTCCAAGAGATGTTACAATTTATTTTGGCCTTGGAAAGTCACCAGGCCAATATGTCCGTGGCGGTCAACACGTTTAGCAAACCATATCAGAAATCTATCTGCTATTTAGCCTGTTAAAACCTTCCATCAGGGGTGCAAATTTTCAGGAATGGCGGCGCAATGCAAAGTAGTATCCTTGGAGCAAAATCAGAAAAAATAGGCTTTTCTTATTTTGTTTCGAGTTTTTTTTATGAGCGAAACAAATTAACATACCCAGCAGCATATAACATTGAATCAACGTTGATTCGACGTTGGTTCATCGTCCGGATGTTGAATCAACACGGAATCAATGTTGTTTGAATGTTATTCGCTGCTAGGGATGGGAACATAGGAGACGTCCAACATTTTTTAGCCAAATGTGTAAATGTGAACTAATACATGAAGGCATAATTTTTGCATAGCCCGCTCACTTTTTTGGCAGTGTCTTAATAATAGAAGAATCCTGGTGGGGCAAAACGGGGTCACGATGAGGGAGCAAAAATGGGGCGGTATAGCGGCCCTATATATCTATTCTCCTCTGGTTGGAACATCCATCACAACGGCATGGCTCAGGCTGACGCGATGTGTTACTGTTTAGATCCTTCCTCTCGCTCAAAACCCGATGGAGACTAGGTGACCTGCTCTGTCTTCCGGAATTCGGTTCATCAAAGCTTTGCAGGCATGGATGACGACGCGGATGAGGACGTGTTTGGCTGTGACTTCTGTGAATTTGCATCTATGATGAATGCTTGGATAATAATATGTAACAGAAACAATTGTTTTGATATGGAAGTTTAATTGTTGTTTCAGCTCTGTGGCCTCAGTAAATTGGCATATAATGAAAATATGAGAAAACATGAGAATAAATGGTTTATTTGTAGATCTTTCATTGCTGTTTCTGTTTTTCATTATTTAAACTTTTTTCATAGGTAATAAGGAGAGTGCAAAGTATCATGTCTGTTCGCATCATCATGTCACCATCACCGGCTTCTCCGTAGTGGCAGAGTTCAGTGGATATCACTAAGTCCAATGAATACATGTCCCTTCCCTACGATATATGTCGAGAAAGAAGAGAATCACATCAGACTGAAGCCCGCACTGCATTTTTCATGAATAATCACCTCATTTTCATGCAGAGTCAATAAATACAGAAAGCAAGATGAGGATGCAATACCTCTTAAAACGCCTCCGTATGCTTCGCAGAAGAGAGGCAAGACGCCGAACACGGTCCCGTCCAGGAAGTAACGGTCGGCCTTCATTATCATCTTTGTCCAGTTTACAACAATGGACAAGAGAGCAGTTCTTCAAGGTGGAACTCCTTCGAATTCTGTTTCATGTTTTTTTTTTTAAATGAAAAAGCGATGATGCGGATTCGTCCGAATTTGCGAAGAAATGTATCTACGAAAAGAATGCCAACTGCCCAAAGAAATGAAAGTAAAGTATTTGGAATATTGCTCGACGCACTTCATGGGTGACGCGGGCTCAATTTCCTCGTTGTTGAAAGCGGACTCGAAATGGTTCCAATGGGATCGAGGACAGGGATGCAGTTCTCGGGGACCCCCGTGCAGAGCTAATTTTCACGAATGCACGAACTGGAACGGACCCTGGCTCAGCTCACGTTCCACGTTCTGCATGATTCAATGTAGTGTCCGGTGGACCGTCGGCATATCTTGGACTGGAATTTCCAAAATAGAAAAGCGTAAAAGGAAGAAACGGCCAACTAATAGCGGAACAATGGAAACCCGACGACTCGCAATGACATATAATTTTGCGGTGCGACCAAGATCGAGAAAACGACGTGTCAAAATAATGGGAATGAAACGCGAAGGAGTAAGAAATGAATTAATAAACAATTTTACTCGACACGTTCTCATTTGCGGCGGAGACGCAGAAGGGTGAGATGAAAGTCCGCCCCAGGAGCGATTCGTTTTTCGGCCCGTGAAGGAAGGCTCAAACGACCGACACTCCGAAACGGACCGAAGACGCCATCCATGTCGATTATCGACATCCTCCCGAATGTCAACGCCGTTCGCATCTGTCCGTTCTCACGAAGGTCTGCAGGAAGGCTCGCATCGCGATTCCGTCGCCGCGATCGTCCGCGGAACGTCCACGCCTCGGACCGATATTCTACCTCCTTTCGCTCTCGTTCGGAAGATGGCTTCGCACACAACATTCCATTTTGCAGAAAGCATAGCCTCTGATGATGAGGAACATTTTTTAAAGGCCACAATTCAAATCTCGAAGCTTTTGGCCTATAAAGCTCCCAAACACAAACATACATTTGTCGATCGACCTAGCTAGCGAGTGCTTCTTTTCCAGTGAGAAATCTTTTTTCTAGCAATCGACATCCAGTTCGGCTCAGGTACTCCATGCTGGCTCAGTCGTCGCCCAGGAAAATCAGGACTGCGTTAGTCACTGTGCGCCCAGGGTGACTATCGAGAAGTTGGCTACTCGCACCGGGCAATCCGATGTCTCTGGATGCGTCGGACCCCGTCATGCTACATCCAGGCCTATCGGTCGGTTTCCCACTGGCCATAGCGTACTCTCGGCACGATGCCCCAAGGGCAGACCAGGAGCGGAATCGAACGGTAAACGACCTTGGCAACGGACTCTGAACATCGGGACTTGAAACGTGCTAACACTCGGCGGTAAGGAGCCTGAACTCATGGAGGAGACTAGGAAGAGACGACGAGACATGGTTGGCTTAGCCTCAACCAAGAGGAAAGGCACCGGTTCCATTTCCCTAGACCACGGATGGACCCTCTACTGGAGCGGAGTCGACTCGACCGTGTTTGCTCAGGCTGGAGTAGGGATACTCATTAGTCCCCAACTGGCCGAAAGCGTCATCGAATGGAACCCAGTCAGCGAGCGTGTCGCTCTGATCCGCCTCAGACTGGAGCTAGTCGGAGTCTTGGCCGTCGTTCCGGTCTACGGGCCGAATAGCGAGCCTGATTACGATGCGTTTTTGGAGGTGGATGGAACCTTAGAAAGGATTCCGAACGGCGACTGCGTTGTGCTGATGGGGGACTTCAATGCACGAGTTGGGAGAGACGACGTAACATGGAGTGGTGCGATCGGTCGATTTGGGTAAGCCACGCTGAAAGGGAGTAGCAGAAAGTTGCTGGACTTCTGTGCTGGCAATGGCCTGACCATCACCAACATCTTATTCCAGCAGATCCACAAGTTTACCTGGCACAGGGGGTCTGATAGTCGGACTGGTACTGTGTGCCAGCAATCGCTGATCGATTACGTGATCGTTTCGGCGGACTTGTGGGGCCTTGTGACGGATACGAGGGTGTGACGTGGGGCAGAACTGAGCACCGATCATCATCTAGTGGTCAGCAAACTTNCAAACTTCGGATACGAGCGAATCTCAGAACGAGGCAGAGAACCGCACGCGTTGAAAGACGAGTGAGGTGGGAAGCCCTTCGCGATGAGGGTACTCGTGACGAATTTGCGAGGGAGATCGGCGAGAAATACTCTCCACTGCCTCCCCAGACGTCAGATGTAGAGACTGAATGTACTCTATTTCGGTCTGGTGTTTCGGTGGCGGCAGCAAGAGTGTGTGGGGAGAAGCGCATCGGAGTGGCTCACGGTAACGCCAAGCGAACTGGTGGACACCAGTGGTACGCGAGGCTGTCACTGCCAAGGTAACCTACCGGGTGTACATGTCCAGTAGGTCTGATTCTTCTAGGGCGTGCTATACCGAGACGCGACGAACTGCTGCTCGTGTTGTGGTCAAAGCGAAACAGGAGGCGTGGAAGGAATTCGGCGACCAAATGGAATCAGACCACTGCACTGCCATCAAGGTGTTCTGGCAAACCATCCGAAGGTTACGGCAAGGCAGGCAACATACGCTCCGGGTCATCAAAGACAGAAACGGGGAGGTGTTGGCTGCCGAGGCGGATACACTTGGGAAGTGGAAGGAACGCTTTGAAGAGCTCTTAAACCCACCAACAGTGGACACCGACCTACCCGACTTGGAGCCTCTCAGCGCGGAGCTGAGCGCGGAGACTAATCTCACCATGGAGGAAGTTCTGCAGGCCATTGCTAGTCTGAAGAATGGAAAGTCTCCTGGTGTGGATGAAATCCGGGCGGAGACTCTGAAAGCAATGGGTATAGATGGGTGATCGTGGCTTTATAGGGTGTGTCAGGCTGCTTGGGAATCGGGAACAACACCTAGGGATTGGCAAACCGGTGTGGTGGTTCCTCTTTTTAAGAAGGGGGACTCGAGGAAGTGCATGAACTATCGTGGGATCACTTTCCTCAGCATACCTGGTAAAGTCTATTCAAAGGTGCTGGAAAAGAGAGCTCGGGCAGTCGTGGGCAATGCCATCCAAGAGGAGCAGTGCGGCTTTCGTGAAGGGCGTAGCACCACGGACCAGCTGTTCACACTCCACCAGATCCTCGAGAGACATTGGGAGTATGCCAAAGATGTCTACATGTGCTTTGTGGACCTTGAAAAAGCTTAAGACCGTGTACCCCGAGGAAAACTGTGGGGAGTGCTGCAGGAGTATGGGATCAAGGGTTAGCTATTGCGGGCCGTTCAGTCCCTTTACAGCGATTACAGAAGCTGCGTCCGAGTGAGCGGGAGGAGTTCGGATTGTTTTCTGGTACTCGCTGGACTCCAGCAGGGTTGTGTCCTCTCACCTTTCCTGTTCCTCGTGTACATGGACAAGATCTGTAGGCGCAGACTCGGCCTGGAGGAGGTCAACATCGGTGACGTCGCAGTAAGGATACTTCTCTTTGCCGACAATGCCGTTCTTTTGACCCGCTCCCGACAGGAGCTCCAGAGCGTGCTCGATCGGTTCGACTCCGAATGCACTGCGGCCGGAATGAAACCAAGCGTCTCCAAGACACAGGTCGTGGTCCTCTCGAGAAATCCTGCTCGGTGCACCCTGCATGGCAGTGGGGTCCCACTGGAACAGGTGAAGAAGTTCAAGTATCTCGGGGTCTGGTTCTCGAGTGACGGGCGATACAGAAACGAGATCGACAACCGCATCTCCAAGGCTTCTGCAGTTCTGCGGGAACTTTGGCAAACCGTGGTTCCCAGATCGAAAGTTTCTCTGGAAGCAAAACTCTCGGGTTTTAAGAGTGTTTATCTCCCCACCCTCACCTATGGTCATGAACTTTGGGTCATGACCGAAAGCACCAATCGCGAATACAAGCTGCCGAAATGAGGTTCTTGCGTCGAGTGGCTGGCGTAACACGCCGTGATCGGATGCGGAACTCTGCCATCCGCGAGAGTCTCCACGTCGAGCAGCTGTTTCTCCGGATCGAGAGGTCTCAGGCCAGGTGGTTTGGTCACGTCTGCCGCATGCCCCCTGAAAGGCTCCCAAGAGGAGTCTTCCAGGCCAAGATGACCGGCAAAAGACCTGTCGGTAGACCTCGTACGAGGTGAAGTGATTACGTCGCTCGGCTTTGTCACGAGAGGCTCGGCATCCCACCAGCTGAGCTCGAGTCTGTTTCCCAGGATCGAGATCACTGGAGAACGCTCCTGGGAATGCTCGAATCGTGACCCCATTAGGTTAGGAAAAGCGGCCAAGAAAATGTATGTATGTATGTTACAGCTAGCGACTAAAAAATGGGATAATACAGAGAATGCGCAATTAAAACAGTACTGATTTTTTCTTATGGTAAAATCATTGAAAAGGTCAATATCATATTTGATTTCTGCCCCCAGGTGTCCTTTCATCCCACAGATAGAAATTTCCATAAAAATTTCCAAATTCTGAGAATAATAGATTTGTATTTGAGCCCCTCTAATGCCCTATTCCTCAAGGAGGACAAGGAAAGTTGTGCCTTTTCCACCCAGGAAGAAATAGATTTTCAGAAGATTTTCAACTAAAAGTGTACTTGCAGTAAATCTTAATATGCTTATTCACTATCACTCCAGCTGATGCCATGAGCTACCCAGGACACTGATGAGAAACTTACAGCTACCAGATGGTCTATTTTTTTTAAAAGACACTTTCTTTTCAGGATATGAAAATCAGACTTGAAAATCTTACGACTCCAAGAAAAACTTCATAAATTAAATATATAGGTACAGGTATGTCAAAACTTGAGAGACCCAAATCAATAAAAGGCCTACTTTCCTGTTCCACAGAAGCCTATCTTATGCATATGCTTATCATGTCTCAACTTTTCCTCTTAGCAAATCCACACCACAAAGTTAGACTGGAAATGCAATTTTAAAAAGTCCCACGGACAAGGAGAACATAATCTAACCTGGCCTCCGAACTGGCTTCAGGACGTGGAGGGCACTAATCCAGTCAGGATTGAACTTGGAAGACAATGTAAGCCTTACCTCAAGGCTCAAGGGATCTAGGAGGAAGATCTCTGGATAAAATCCATTGCAGAACAGAACCACTTCCTTCGTCTCACTCATCTGGTAGGTCTGCCAGATGGGAAAAAGCAAATAGGGTCAGTCAGTCATTCAAAAAATGAACCAGGCTTACAAGTTTGATTTTTAGTTCAATAGAATTATTTCATAGTTTTATTTTCAAAATAACATGACAAAGACCTGTGTCTCCAAGGTGGGCTTCAGGCAAATTATATGTTTCCCAAATAAATTTAATTATGAAAGTTTCATAGGGGTTTCTCCTATTCTATCATTTGATGTTCAAGTCCTCATGAGCAATAACTGCCAGGAATCAGCTTTTCAAAAAAAAGTTGCTATACTAATCAATTAATAATTTCCATAAAAGCACACATAACAGAACCAAAATAAACAGCAGACTTACATGCATTGCAACATGTACATTTGAAGACTTTGTGGTCTCAATGCACCTTCCTTCAGAAAGATCCCATGTGCACATCTCCCTGAAATGTCAACACGAGGCAACACCCATGAATGTTACTCTGTCTCCAACACCAGAACACCCATTCCAATGCTTCATAAGACAGACTGATGACTGGTTCAAAACAAGAGACTTCCATGCACACAATGTCCACAGCCTTATCACTAGCATATCTCAAATCTGCAATTGTGGACTTCATACAAATTTAAATTAAACATACAGTCCTACCTTCCCATTCCAATAACAATAGTCCCTTGGCATACTGCATACAACCCATGTGTAACAAAAAGAAAGCAAGAATATTTTTGAAAGCATAACACTCAATTGCAGAAGCTGACATATTTCACATATAAAAACAAAGAATTTACAGGAACCACATATTTTGTAGCTTTTAAAAAGTGCTCTGATGATGTGTAATGTGTTGACAATAAGCATATAAACCATTAACTTAGATCTACACTGAATGCAAATAAGCAAAGGTGATTCTCCATTCCACACTCACCCATTTTCAGATGAGCTGACAATGAGCGTCAATTCCTTTTCCAAGGTGGCAGGTGCCAGGCATTCTATGGATGATGTGTGCCCCAGCAGCATGCATTTTGGATGCAACTGCAAGGTTGAACCAAAAAACCCCATGTAACATTGAAGAATGATCCTGGTCTAAGATATTCAGGTCTGGAGTTAAAATTGGTCTTACATACATACACCAATAACACCTAGCCTGAACCTCCACTCCAATCTTTCAATCATCAAATAAAGAAATTCTAACATTATAAATAACAAACTACCTTAACAAATATCTCTTTAGTAGCAAATTTCCTTAAGATTTTAAATTGAACTGCAGCAGGAACAACCTGCACTGCTCAACTAATTTTTTTTACAAATGGAAGTAATAATGAAAGCCTGATACAAATTGTCAAAAAATGTTCATAGCCAATGCTATTAAATTGTGTCTCATTGGTACTCAGCAAAATTTAATTCATGTGCAAAATGAAAATAAATTCACTGTCCTCACAGGTCCTTGAAATTGTCTCACAGAGGCTTACACACCTGGAATGTTTGGGGTTCCACATCCCAGAGGACGAGCTGGCCATCATGGGAGCCGGTGACAAGCAGCCGCTGATCCTTGGAAAGGAGCACCTGGGAGATACAATGGGAAGGTGCCTGCCTTCCCCACATAATCACAGGTATTATTAAATTCGGTGGGCCCAGCATCTTCAAGTAGAGGTGTGCCTATATAGGCCTGGAAGCTGCCAATAATGCTGCACCGAAGGTTCCTGTAAACTCTTCACACTAGAGATGCACACAATGCATGGCACTTTTGTGTTGGGGCCCCATAAAGTGGGACAGGCCTAGAGAATGAAACATCTGCAACCTACAGTCCATGGAAACCTGTAAAAAAAAAAACAAACAGAGTCAGGCTTGCTTAATTCAGTCAGGACTGGATACCATCAAAAGCTCATATCTATACTACATACATATATGAAGTAAAATGTATATATGGGCTCATGAAATGTGAGGATAAGGCATGGCTGTCAATCATTTGTCAGAAGAAATGATTAAGTTCACAATGAGAAGTTTTTTGAATGACCAGGAAGCCAAAATGGGAAATCATCACTGGTAACATTTTATTAAATTTGTTAGCACCTTTTTTGGTGTAGAAGTTTACTTGTTGCTAATGGTGACATGTTGACATGTTTGATCATAAATCATAATTAACACATTCAGCTCTGGTATATTTCTTACTAATACAACCCCTACAATGAATTATTTATAATATAAAATAATAGTTGAAAATAATGTTGTACAGAAAAAATCTCAGAAATGTTCACATTTCCTTTTTCTAAATTGAATCCTGACACATGTCATGCAGGAGATTTCTGATTCCAGACTGTAGATGTGTGAGCCATATATTGGAGATATTTAATTGAGGGACTGAAGGTGTTAAGGGTGGAAATTGAAATATATAAAGTGGGCAGTAGAATTTAGGAAGTCAGTAGTCATGGTAGTAACCAGAACCTATCAAAGCTCTGAAGGAAAAGTTTTAGTGCACCAGTTCAGTAGGACATGTATCTGTTGCCTGAAGACTGGCAAGTGTGAACAATTTGGAAAATCAACAACTTGTGGCAGTCATTAGCGATAAGCCAAATCAACTTGTAGGTTGAGCTTAGAAGTTGGTCTAAGTCACAAATCAGTACATTGCATTATCTAGAGCTTCAAGTTCAAGCCATACAGACCTTATCTGCTTCATGTTTTGAATGAGGATGACCCAGATCATAGGATGCAATTTTGTGTGATGTTCCTGAAAAAATGTAAGGATAACAGTTTCATTCATTCAATTTTATGGTCTGATGAGGCCAAATTCTAATAAATGGTCACTATAACCACCACTAACTCATGGAGCATACTCACGTTTCAGAGACAACCAAAATGAATTTTCACTGTGTTAGTATGATGAGGCATTTGCCCAACAGTGTAGTCCATCAATTCTTTTCTGATGAAACCTAAATAGGTGAAAACTATTTAAACCTTTTGAAAGATAAGGTAAAAAATATTATTCCAGAATACATGAATCAGGACATTATGTACCCATAAAGATCATTTAAGATCTTTCTGTAATTTCACTAGCAATTATCTATGCCATATAAATTCATATATTAAAATATGAATGCACATATATGGGGCCATATATGGCTGAAGCAGATGATCCATATAAGGAGTACTCACATATTAAACATACCAGCATACAAGTAGCTTCAGAAAATTTATGGAAAAATGTACTCAGAGGCTGGTTTTCAGCCTGTTTGCAATGACGCTTGGTGGAAATGTTAACGATGCAGTCCCTAACCTGCTCTAATGATGGCACTGCTGACTACTTTGAGGGAATATTGAGTGAAAATGAGTGGATGCACCCTACTGGAAAATTAAAGCATTTCATGCTAACTTTTTGAAACTACTTGTATGGTCTACATAAAATATTTCTGTAGTTTGAGGGATAGGCTCCAGCAAATACTGTATATGATGATGTACCTGGTTTCAGTATGATTTTTATAAAGGGTTTTCATATATATATTGTAAATACATTTTCAGCATGCATGCTTTAAAAAAATATATATCATTATAAATATATATTCCATATTCATGAGGTACAGTGTACAATTTATATGGTATGGTCAAACCCACAGAGCACAGTGACATCCCAGGGAAGTCTTCAACTGGACTACTTGTCCCAAGGTCTTCATGGGATATCCTTAGGACATCAGTATAATACTTAGGGATATCTTTAAGACATACTTCTGGACATCAAATGCTTCTGGATATCCCTTAAGAGATGTCTCAAAGACAACTTTAATCAAATGCTTTTTGACATATTGAGGAGAATGTCCTCAGGATATGTTTGAAATGTCTTTAAGATATCTTCATTCATCTTTAATGAAGATGGTGACAACTGAAAATGTCTTCAAGTCTTTTTCCATTATCACCTTCAGTCAGGTGCACAATTTTGACAGTAGATATCTCGCATGAACCATGATTTCCAACCCCATATCTTTCTTATTAATATTACCAACATGATTTGTAAAAACAAAAGGGATGATTTTTGCCCCAAACATTAGGAAAATATTCAATTAGGAAAAGTGAAAAAATTGAGGTCCTGCTTTAAATTTATTCCATTATATTCCTATGAATGATGCCTGATCAGCATGTCTGAGTACCACTATTGTGGTTAGAAACCTTGAGTGCATAGTTCAGCTTTAAAGAAGTAAAGCCTACACATCTCACCCAAGAAACTGAGCAACTTTTCATAAAAAGTGCAAAGGCTAACCCCATGGAGGTGTGTCTCTTATATTAGGGTCTTTCAACCAATGGATTTCCCTCCCTCTTTACCATCATTCTCTAATTGAACAAGAATTGAAGACTGGGTAAGTCTAGATCAAGTAGAGGCATATTAGAAAATAAAAGGTTGTCCTGTATGGCAGGAAATGAGTTGGTTTCAGTAAGAAAGGCACCCAGATACTTTGATATCCTTGAGAAATCTTATATCTGGGACTTCTCACTTGTCTCTAGGTGATATCTCAGGGAAACATTTGTTCTGCAAGAAAGGGACATCCTTGGGATGTCTTTACACCCAGATGTTTAGATAAGATGTCCCTAGTTGTTATTTCTGGGACTTCTCCCTTGTCCCAAGAGATGGAATGTTCTCGTACTATGTGGGAAGTGAATGGTTTTTTCATTTTAACAGAGGCAAATGAAGTGCCAATTCTTAGCATACTTCCTTTTGTCATTTTTTACATTAGGAATGGCTTGTGAGAGTGACATGATTTTGTGTATGTTTCATACCTGATTTAGTCATGTCTTTTTATCAGGTGTTACATATATGCCCCACCATGAAATAGATTTAAATACTAAGTCATACAAGAATCTTATCTGGTCCTCCATATCTTTTACATACTTTTTACTTTAATTATTATATGGCCTTGCCATATATGATAATATGCTCATTGTTTCAAGAATATACGATCAGATATTTTCCCCATATATGTACACATATCATATATGATAAACCATACATGTCCCACATATCAAGTATGCCCATTTCTCATAAAAATCATAAGATTTTTCCATATGGGTATTGGCAACAGGATGGTGCACCACCTCACCACTGTCTGTGATTTCCTAAATGAAACATTTCCTCCATGTTGGATAAGCAGGCAGGAGGGCAATTGAATGGCCACCACAGTCTCCAGACCTAACACCCTGCATAACCAAGTTTACAAAACAAAACCAAACCACCTAATGGACCTTCAACAATGCACCAAAGTTGAATTTAATTCCATTGACAGAAAACTGCCATAAAGTGTATCAATCCATCAGTTATTTCTTGTATGCAGGAATGTCAATGTCAAAGGATGCCAGTTTGCACATTTGACTGACTGAATCACCAATAATCATCAATAATTACCTCTAGAAATTGAATTCATTATGTAAATACTTGTTTCATTCGTGACTTTTAATTGATAACTTTATATTTAGAGAAATATTATAAACAATGTCTAATGTCAATGACATTTCCTGGGTAATCTTGACACATCCTGTATGTTCACACTCTTTTACTGATGCAGGGTCTTAGTCCAGTTGTAGCAACGATTTTTAGTAAAAAATAATTTTAAAATGTTCATAAAATGCTTCAATTTGCGCCTTTAGGGCTGTTGCATGCATATATTGAGAGGCTGTGCATGCTCCTGCTTAGCTGCCTGCCAAAAGTTACTTCGACCCTACTGAGTCCTAACAGTTCAATTCAGCGACCTGAGTCCCCCTAAATGCCTCGTCTGAAATCGTTGTCTTTTCAGAATGAATATGCCAGATTCTCGGATCACAACTGAACACAAGAAAGTCATGTTTCAACCTACGCTACACTTTATGCAACAGTGCATGTTCCTTCTGTTCTGACGGAATGAAATTTTCATCTCTGCGAGGTAAATTATTCCAACTCGGAGGCAACGAAAGAACTAGAGCGCACCAGTTCCCTAGATAACTGCGCCGCATAGACCGACACTGACTTTTGCCGTTTTCCTGGCGGGACCGAATGCCACTCCCGCAGGGGAGCACAGAAACGAGTCGCAATAGTCTTCAGCGATGCATGAGATGGACCGGGGGCTACCTCAATTTCACGAAACTAGGACATACTCCTGGCATACGCGCAACTACCGGGTGGGAGCAGAAGATACCACGGACACAGATGAACGGAGATGAAATCAATAGCGGCCAATAAGTCCACAGGGTCGGGGCCGAGAGTCTACGGTACGTTGCGACCCGCTAGTCCAGTACATAGGCTATCTTAGACCTGCGCCCCTAGATCTACCGATAAACCTAATGCGAGAATAATGCTATAAAAACTACACACGTTCACATCGGACCGTCGCATGGACATGTCATGGATAGTGGCCATTGAAGACGTCAAGGCGCCTGCGCTCCAAAGTAATCAGATTTCAAATAGAGGTCTCACCAGTGGCGAAAATATAGCGGCATTACCGCGCTTCGCTGGCCCGACAGCAAATATCTGACCCGCAGGCTTTTGGTATATGTGGACTCTATTTGTAATTCTGCGAGACGTCATCAAGATGGATCCGTCCTCGGTCGCATCTGCGAAGTAGTCTCTGTGCCACTTCGTCTCGAACCATATGGGAAGACTCGTGGTCTCACGAGACTTTTTTTTCCCATTCTGACCGAGAGCACCATGTGCGAATCTCGGTCGATCGAAAGGGCAGACGAATGCCCTCTGGCCCTCCTGTCGGAAGAGACGCGGAAGGAGCTGTGTCTCCTGCTCAACCCGAAGAAGTTCCTCACTACGGAACAAGGATATTTGAGGTAATGCGACGTTCGTGCATGTTCTTCTCCACGAATTGCGTTTCAGTCTAGTTTCCTCTGCCTCCAGGGACTGGAGAGGCCTACTGGGATGTTTCGGATCGTCCCGCAATGCATCACATTTCACCTCCGCGAATCCCTGCCAAGACGTCTTGCGAGAGCTGGCCCGATCGCCAGACAACACTGTGAGGGATCTCCTGGCTGCTTTGGAGGTGTTGGACCGATATGATGTCATCGACGACTGCCAGCATCTCTTCAGTAACGGATTGCTGGTTGTATTTTGGCTTTTCTGCTCTTCTGTGATTGTTGGGAGCTTTGGTTTGGCTTTTTCTGCAGTTGCTGACGTTCAGAATGCCTGCAAGAAGAGGGACTCCAATCGTCAGGTATCAGATCCACCTGCAATTGAGGAGGTGTCCTTTGAGTGCCTTACATTTGGTAGGCCATTTGTTACATATAATGAACCTTAGAAATACTATCTTTCTTAATTTGATAATTTTTGTTATAAGTAAATTTAAAATGTTGATACCTCGTAGAATATTTCTGAAGCTGTTGATGTTTAGATTCAAATTGCCCATAGCAATGACTTACCCATTATTGGCAAGACCCAAATTAGTAAATATGTTACATTTTTATCTGGAATGCACTTGGCATTGTAATTCAGAAAACTAAAAACCTAAATGCTGCTGTAAAATGTAATATTTAAAATTAGATGATGCCCTGAGCAAGAGACCAGTCCAGTACCATGCATTCGTGCTGTATGCAGACAAAGATGAGGACTTCAAGCAGGAGGCCGTGTCAGAACTGGAAGGTCGACGATCCCTCAGAGTGAGTTGCTCAACTTGCCTGAGGATGCAGTAGGATGGAGCGATTCACCCCTTGCTAATGAATCTGAATGTTACATCCTCAAAGCTTTGTTTCCGAGACCATCTCCTTCCCGGTATCAACTTTGAGCACAATGCTGTGATGGAGCTCATCAGGGACCGCTGCCACTACCTCATCTTGGTCCTGTCCCCAGAATTCTTTGCCAGCCCCGAGTATGAGTTCTACTCACTGTTTGCTCAGGCCCTTAGCATTGGTGAGTGATGTTATGGATGTTTTCTGTCCCTTGGAGAGAACTCTGTAAAATATTCTCCGATTTCAGCCTCAAAGCAGCGGAAGATCATCCCAATCATGGCCAGGCCCTGCCAGACAATTCCAGTGCATCTGAGTACCCTGTGGAAGTTGGATCGTGAGAGATACCAACGTTTTGGCTGGGATTTTTGGGGATACCTCTACTCTGCCCTCACATCCTCTGCATCAAGCCACCTCAGGTCTCCTGAACCAAGGTAGAGCGTATCCATCTATCAGTGACCCAGAATGCCTAGTTTAACTAATGGGCTGGTGTCTCTGAATTGAACACTTCATGCAGCCATTTTACAATGTAATGGTTCAAACTTTTATTAAATTTTTTATCCTCCTGAAAAAGATTTTTTAAAATTATTTGTAGGATTGCAGCAAAACAAGCTATTCAGAATATAGTTACCGGAAAGCTCTATGTGGTATTTGGCTTTTTTTGGCATTATTTGGTACTCTAGATCCTAAATGACAGTTCATCAAGTATTAGGAATCACTTTGTGATTTTGCTTTTCCTGAATTCCCAGGCTACCACACCTGATTAAGAATTTCTAAAAATCTTCCTTTCGCAACTCTTTGAAGATTGATGTAATGATGAGGTCTTTCTGTTGGAACATGACAGGCTACAGGTCTCATCATCCTATCCAGAACTCAAAGAAGCAAAAAGTGCCTTGGAAGGCCCAGCTGAACTGTCGCAAATGCCCTCGCCCAAGCAACGAGTGCCTAAGTTCTTACTCAAGTGCTCAACTAAGATAAAAGACACAGAGAATAAAAAGGAGGGAGACACTGTGGAGGCAGAAGGCAGTGAAGAGACAAAACCAGGCCCAAAAAAGTCTACATCTGGGTTTATCATTCAGCCTTTTCGTCGTCTGCTGGATGCTAAGTGCGAGAAAACTGCACGCAAGAAACGCATCAAGATCCCTGCCTCCTGATTCTTCCTTTTTTCCATCTGGCTTTTATTGACATGAAAGTCGTGTTCTCTTTTCTTGCTGTCTTAGTATCTGTTGTCACTAGCAAGCAACATTTTGACTGTAGATGTACGATTGATCATGAAAGTTTCAATCTATGAGCGATTGGACTTATAGTTGACTATTTGGGATAAGTAATTTTGCATTCCTTCTGCATCAGATGTACTTCCATTGTCATGATGCATATTTATGCGAGCAAAAGTGCAGTATGTTTGAGATAGAGCAGATTTTGAAGCTTCAAATGAAGAGGTACTTTCATGAAGTTCACTCAAAGAAACTGCAGTCTTTCAAAGGAAAATCTGTATTTGTTCATGTTGCATATGTACCTGTGTTCTGTTCTCTCTATAGTCCTTATTTTTTTCACCAAGAAAACCAGCTGTGATGCTATGTGCTTCTCTTCCAGCTTCCTGCAGAAATGAAAATATGATTATTGTTTTTCCAGTCATTGATTTTGAATGAGAATCCTTTGAACAAATCCTTGGAAATGGTTTGAATGGTCACTGTTGATGACTTTGATGCCAGGAGTCTACCATCAGTGTTGATGGTGCAGTAGCAGTGTCTACTGCCATTGAGACCAGCAAAAAGATACTGATCCATTGAATAGACAATATACCATGTTTAATTCTTAATTCTTTTATTCTCAAAATTAACCTGTATCAGTACGAGTTATTTCGTACTTATAAGCATACTAGCATATGCTGACTCCTCTTGCAAAACATAAGCTTCTGGTAGAACCTCATTGTTATATATCCTAATGGCATCTTAGGTTTTTGTAGGATTTTTCATTTTGCATTAATTTAACATCCATTTTCAAGTCAAACATTTGCAAGCTGTCCATTATCTGGTGTCATTTATTGTGGTAGAGAGAGAATCTGTTCCTCCATGATGTTGACCTCAGACCCAGTGTGAAATCTCAGTTGGGGGAATTTTTTTCAACGTGGAAATCGATTGCCTAGGAGGAAGGAGGCAAAGATGGACAGCTTCCCGTCATACCAGAATTCATCCGGGAGCTCGGGGCAGTTCCAGAAGCTCCTGCGTACCCTCACAACCAATGTGCAGAAGGTCTCTCAGAATGGTATGTGCATCCTGACATGAGGTTGAAAAAAAAAAAATCACCCAGTACATTTATGCCAATTGATGTGAGAATACATATTTTCTTATGTCTACAGTGCAGTCCCTGAAGCGACTGGTGAATCAACTGGGCACCTCCCAGGACACCCAGCAGCTCAAGGACCAGATGTGAGCATTTTCTGCTGCTTCTCCAGGTTTTTCTGAATCAATTGCAACAATAGTAGTCAGGGCCTTTCCTTTGTATATCAGAGTGAAATGAAACTGAGAATACTCATAAGCACTTATATTGACATGCTTCACGCTTTTCAATCGCCTATTTTAGTAATGCAGTATTGAGTTATGTCTCAGTCTTCATAAGTTTCTGGGAAGAATACTTCGTATTTCTAAATGTGGGAGTGGTAGAACATGCCACCCAGTGGACAGTGTTTTGAATTTTGAATTCCAACACTGCCTTGCTGAATGAGATTCAATAGTCCATGAGTTAGTATAGACGTTACCAGGATCAATATGATGAAGTTTTGTTTGCTCACCAGGCACGAGCTGCAGCACTACACGAAGCAACTGGCTGAGGACACAACAACCAAGATCAAGAATCTCCAAGCCCAGGTCCCCTTCCTCCCCAGTGATGAGCAGGTCGGTCTATTGTCCATGTCATGGCCAACGTAAAAAATCAGACGTGTTAGTTTTTTGGTGCAGGTAAGGAAATGTCCTTGGAGGCTAGAGTTAGCCAGAGAGCATAGAAGTCATCTCTGCACTTTGACAACACTATTACAGTGAGGCAGTTTACAACTCAAATATTATTTGAACCCAAAGCATTGAGACCAGGGGCCTTTTTCACAAAACATCTTTAACTTTTATTTAACTTTATTTCAGTGATATTTAGACTTTATCCCAACTCAAAAAAAAAAGAAAAAATAGACACCTTTGGAGGTCTCTCTTTCTTGACTTTAATCTCTCTGAGGGCTATGGAAACTCACCTGTGTGTATTCTTAATTACATGTCCCAAACGTTGCATGTGCATTCTTTCTGCCACTTGTAACTAACTGCTTTCTGTGTGAACATGACCATGGCTGCAAGGCTTCATCTAATTCGAAGGCAGCTTCATCAAGAACGAGTACTTTGCAACCAAAACAGCCCCTTGGAAGAGTACAATGATAAAGGACTCAGGAGCAGATTCAGACTCTCACAGAGCCTCATCTTGGATATCTGTGCCCTAGTCCAGGCAATTATACAAAGGTGTACTGCCCATTGGGGAGCACTACCAATCCAGCTGGTAGTATGTGTGACACTTCAATTCCTGGCCACAGGCTCCATCTGCTAATATGATAGGAATGGAAAGGCCATGGCCATCACCAAGCATGGATAGAGTCAAAATATAGCAGAGGTAAAGTTAAAGAAGTTTCTTGAAAGAGGCTCTAGTAATGACACTTATTTAGGTGTCACCTTTTGCTACACATCAAAGACTGGAACTGTAGAATGGTTGCTGACATGTAGGTCAGTATGCTCTTTGACTGTCTCCATCATTTGCACAAGACTTCTTAATGATTTTTTTTTTCAAACTTCTGCTCCAACTAAGCATTTATCCTTCTGTGAGAGTGTTGTGGCTATCTCAGCATATAGGTTCACTTCATTCCTGTGATGTGAAACCAGAACATTTGAAATTAGTCATAAATATTTGCCCTCTTTATTTAATCATGCTGATCTGGATGGATATTTTGAACAGAGGATGGGGAAGCTGCAGCTGGAGCGTCTGATGAGCGACTTCACAACCGTGCTGAACGAGTTTCAGATCCTGCAGCGGCAGGAGCGGGACTTTGAGCGAGAACAGATCCGGCAGCAGCGGGCCCAGACCATCCCACAATCCAGCCTCAGTGCGTCTCCAGTCCCTGCACTTCTCTCTTCCTTGTTTTCATCCACATAAATTACTTTTTGAGCTTTTTTGCCTGATATTGGCCCTGTGTTTTGCTATGCTAAATGTAGTGTAAATGTAATCTTAGTTACTTCTGCACTACTTTCTCATCTTGAATGATTGCTGAGGAGATGGTGGTTCAGTTCATTCACATTGCCTAATCTCAATACATTTTCCTATCTTTAACCAACCAGAACTTATTCCTCATCTAAATTCCCTGCTAATGCCAGTCTTGATCATCCAAAGTGGCAACATAAATTTAAGGTTCACCTCCAGGCAGCACCCTACCTTGTATTCTCACAAATTTGACTGTTTTTAATCATACTATGGAGTAAGACATGGCCAAGCATGTTTGAATACAGTAAAAAGAGATTATGGATTTAGAACACCAGTGTGCCATTTAGTGAAGGATAGTTTCAATATCCACTCTCTTTCAACTGTTTGACTTTGGCAACAACATGCTCTATTTGTCCAGCATATAGTACTTATAACACAAAGGATTGTCTATGTATGATGCATTGCAGGGGGGCCACCAGGACGGGGAGGAGCGAGAGGGGAAGGGACGCTCATAGAACTGAATGCCCCAGGATCGAGTGGATTTCAGACACAGACTCTCATGCAGGAGGAAGAAGAGTTGCACGCTCTACGGGAGAAGGAACTTGCCGTTCGGCAGCTTGATGTATTTTTTATTGTTTGCCCAATAGATTATGTCTCTAGACCAGGGGTTGGGAACCTTTATGACCATGGGAGCCATATTAAGATTGAGCTAAGTGCTCATGAGCCATAGATTTTCAAAACCACAGAATTTCTCTTGAAGTTGGCAAGAAACATGCATTCTTTGGAACAACCATGATTTTTAGCCATGACTCTTGAGCCAAATGTTCCCAACCCCTGCTCTGGACCCTTCCACCGTTTGCTTTCCAAACAATTTCTGTGAAGAGGAATGCAAAGGAGTGGTTGTTTTTGAAACAAGTTTTCCTGTTCTGACCCCACCTATCTCTTGGGCCTATTTGCCAAATTCTTTTTATCTTCATGGTTTCTATAATTTCAAGAGCTTAGCCCATTGCTGAAGTCCAAAATTTTGCAAAATGTTCACAATTCATAGTGATTTTCTTTGGAAATATAATGGAAGGCCATCATGGCATTGAACGTCTCTGTTTCCGGCCCGACAGGAAGACATCCAGAACGTGAACGAGATCTTCAAGGACCTGGCCACGATGGTGCACGACCAAGGGGAGATGGTGGACAGCATCGAGGCAAGCGTGGAACACACTCACATCAGCGTCGAGGAGGGCACCCGGCAGCTTGCAAAGGCATCATCTTACCAGGTGACACTTCTTTCTGTCTCATTTCATGTTTTCTTGAGAAAATTCAGTGACAGTCCCTGAGATTGAGCTTCTGTTGGCTGTGATAAAGTTGCATTGTTATATCATCATAATACCAGAAACATGGATCTTCAGTCAGTACCCAAACATCTGTTATCATATAAATTTTTGTCCTATTGGTTATCATTGTGCCACACTACCACTAGACAAGAATCACAAGACTGTCATGTATGGATTGCTTCCTACATAGACTGCTTGGATCCCAGCCATCTTCTCTGATTGGATGCTGCAATGCTAAAGTTCCTTAACCACTGACTAATACAAGTGACACAAATGACCCACTCTGAGAACGTAGTTTTGTTTTTTAGTGTTTTTGTCACTGTTTCTAATTTATTTGTTTAAACTTTCCCATTTGCCAATAATTCTTCAAAGTAATCTTTTAATATTCATCGCCTTATATATATCATTATATCCTGTCATTATATATATCATTTTTCTCACACAGACATCAGCAAGGCGAAAGAAGTTCATCATCGGAGCGATCATCCTGGCCTGCATCGCCGTCTTCGGCCTCATCATCTATTTCATCTCCTGAATTGAGTGAAGAAAAAAACTCCATTATTGAGGAAAAAACTTATAATATTCCCCCATATGTGAATCTGCACTTCCCATTGCACCGTGCAGCTGTGATGAATACCATATTCGTTTTTCCACCTCCTTGGACCCCGTTCCTGCTGAAACGGCAGCAGTGCACCCGTCGGTCCGATCCACCCGGTTTCCGTCGAGGCCAAAGAGACCCATACTTAATTACTGTCGATGCTGCCGAGTCTCGTTTTGTCATTTCCATGCACTTTGTCAAATTTGGCAAAAATAAGCCCATACAAGGAGGCTGCTCGGACATCTTGATTTATTGGCATGCCAGTTTTTTGGCCTCTCTGGGAAAGAAAATGAAGTAAGCTGTGCAACATTTTATCCTAATTCATCTGCTTAATGGAATGATGTATGGTCAGCACATGCAGATGATTAGCACCTGATACTTGTTTTCTATTTAGGTTCCTCATAGTTCAATTTCAAATTTTGCTCGATTATGAAGCGAATTATTAGTTATTCACCGGTATTTGCATTCTTTAGGTCTAGTTGATATTGCAATATTTTCACCATCAGTTTATAGGAGGTGGCTCCTAAGCAAAGGGATGAAATTTGCACGTTTTGGGATTTGCGAGTTTTTTGCAACAGTGATGTGCCCTCTTTTTGAGCCTAGTTTTGATTCATAGATTGATTTTAATCGGTTTTCCTTGTGATATTTCGGAGCTGATTCCTGGAGAACTACCGGAAAATGTAAATTTTTCAACCGTTTTTTTCGTAGCTGTGATGTTGCATGTATTCCCAAGAAGATTGGAAAGCCATAAGAATGGGTGCTAATGCCTAAAAAAAAAATTTGCTCTAATTTTGAGGGTTTTTTTGGCAAAAAAAAACTCAAGGTTTCCAGTGATTGTGAAATATATAGAATTGGTGGAAACATTGGACAGAATTCCTCTTAAATTTTCAATTTGCAAAGACTGAAAATGCTGTGCAAAAAAAAAAGAGTTTTGATTATTGGTGCGCATGTCAATGGATGCGAACAAAAATTCTCCGAAGAAATAAAATTTCCCACAGTTTCTCCCTCTGAATTGTTTCCTCTCTTTTTTCCTTCCGAGAATCCTCATTTGAATACAATGGCTAGAGGGGACACCTGTCCCGGCGAGACCGGAAGGCGGAACCGGTTCCACCAGGATCCCCCCTTTCTATTTTATTTTTTTCGGTAAGCCCATTAGACTTCCTGTGATGCGGGGGAGATAAGTAATTAATCCATTCGTGGAAACGATGAGATCGGGAGGAAATGCCGCATCTGTCATCGCTTCCGGAACGGAGAGAAATGTTTATCTTTATCATTAAAAATGAAAAATAAAAAGATGCCTGGAAGACGGCCAGAAAGTTGTGAGAAACGACCGGCCGCGCCGGCCACACGTACCGCCGCAAATTAACATATAGAAAATTAATTAATGTGATATTCTTCCACGCGAACGACCGAAACGCATGCATCGAGCTGAATGAAGCGACCTTGAGCGCTTCCGTTCATTAAGAGATTGATGCCCCCCGGGCGTAAGGGGGGGGGGGGGGTCTTCTCTCCCGACCTTCTCACCGCTTCCCTCGAGTCTTCCCATTATCTCCTTCATTACGTCCCTGGACGTCTTTCCTGTCGTGAAGGACGAGGTGGAGGCTACTGGGACACTATCTCATTTTTATTTGTTTATTCCTTCGTTAATATGTTTAAAAAGTAATTTCGTGTTCATTTTTAAATTTGCCGGGAATCTCCCATTTATTATTTATTATTATTATTATTTTATTTTTTGCCAAGCGTGAAAAATTGCAGCTGAAACCCACCAAGACCTCCATAAATAATTTAAAGTTGGAAGGTACCGAAGTCAAACTCGAATAAACTATTTAAAAGGAATCCGTTGCGGATAACGGAAGAAGGAAACTGGAACTCTCGAGGGGCCCCAAAAACAGGAAGGGAGGAAAAAAAAAAATTTTTAATAAAAAACCCAAAAATAAATATCCGGAAGCGCTTAACATTTCCGCATCCCCCCCCCCCCCCCCCCCTTTTTTTCCCCGTTAGAATAAGTAAGGGGGCATAAAAATAACCCCTTCCAACATATGGTCCGAAGAAGGGTAAAAGGAAAAAAAAAAAGTAGGTCAAACTCTTCTTTCTCTCCCTTCGAGCTCTCGTCTCTCCTTTTAATTAAAAGCAATTGCTTTGAAAATAAATGTTTCATTACCAGCATTTCATTTAATACCAAGAAAAATTCTCGAAAATCGACAAATAACTTTCTTAACGTCAGGAGAGAAGCAAACCGCGCAAATTCGCGAGATAAAAACGCAAAAAAAAATT